GGTGGTCGAGTTGGACTGGGGGAACTCGGGCCTGGGCAGCGGCCAGGTGCAGGAGCGCTGCCGAGGCAGCGGCTCGAAGTCCGGGTCGGTCTCCACCACCTGGGGCGCTTCGGCCATGGTGACCCCCCGCCCCTCCCCCACGCGCAGCAGAGAGTACCGGGAGACGCGGGCACCCGGGGCGGGCGACCGGAGGGAAGAGTCGCTCCGAGATTGGGGAGGGAGAGCCCCCCGCGGTCAGCGGACGCACGCCGGGGCGAGGCGCGGCGCGGCGCGGCGGCGGCGGACGGACGCGCCCAGAACTTCAACTTGGCTGGGTCACCACGGGCGTCCAGGAGCCTCCGACTTCTGCGGCTCGCACCGGGGCACGGAGCAGGCCGCGGGGCCCGGCAGCCGGGGCGCCACGCTCCCGCTGACAGGGCCGCGGACCCCAGAGCCGACGGGCGGACGCCGCGGGCCGCTGTCGCCCTCCTCTCTCCTCTCCCCGCGGCCGCGCGACAGCAGCGCTGCTGCCTGTTGAATGTGGCGGCGGCAAGGACTGCAGCGACTCCGCAGCCTCCTGACTTACGAGCTCCGCACAGGCTCCCCGCCCGCGGCGGCGCGCGCGCCCCGGCCCGCCCCTGACTGGCAGGCGGCGCGGCCAATGGGCGCGCCACGTCCCCGCCGGGCTAGCCAATGAGCGCGGGCCTGGGCGGGAGCGGCTCTCCCTCGGGAGGCGGCAGTGAGGTTGGTGGGGGGTAGTGGGGTGTTTTTCTTTCTCACACTTTTTTTTTTTTTCTTTTTCGATCTCCGTTATTATTTTCTGTAATTCTCAAGTGTTTCTGAGTCTCTCGCCTCTCAAGAGTTCGGATTGCCAGGAGGCAAAGCAGCGTGGAGGCGGCGACCATACTTTTGTTTACTACGCGGAGTGCAAACGAGTAACTCCTCCTCGGAGCCCAAACCCGGGCTCCAGGGGTGGCGCGGGGCCACTGCGCGCTCCCGGGCGCGACGTGGGCGGCGGGGCGCCTCGTGGATTCCACTAAGCCCGCTCCGCCCACGCTTCTTCGCGGAGCTCTGGGGAAGTCGGTGGGGTTTGTTTTGGAGGAATGTTTTCCTAAGCTGGCATCTGTCCGGGCGGCCTCGGGTTTGGAGATCTTGAGAGTGGAGAGCCCTGGCTCTGCGGCTCCGGGTCCCCCTTCCCACAGTACCCTTGCACACCTGCAAGCTGAGACACTCTGCGGTTCGGTCCAGCCCCCAGCCGCCAGTCATCCTGAACCCAAGAGAGGTGCGGCTCGGGGAGAAGACACGACTGTTGCACAAGCGCACAGATCCAGTAGCGCCTCGGATCTGAAGTCGGCTGTGGGAACCGCTTTCCTGCCACGGGAATCTCACTGTGCCCCGAGAACCGGAGTGGTGGCCAGAGGGTCAGGGCAGCGTTTTAGAGACAACCTTGTCACTTTATTACCCCTCATTAAGTTTAACTGGTTGCTTATTTCTTTTTTATTTAGGGTGGAAGCGATGAGGTGTTGAGAGAAATCGAAAAGGGAGATCAGACCCAAGTGTTGGGGCACAGCCCCTCCCCCCAGGGTCTTTTAAGCTTCCTGCTTCTGCGCCATCAGCCTGCTCCCACCTACACCTCACTTTTCCCAATGTGAGCTCCCAGATCTGGATATCTAGTATAAGCTCAGCAGGACCAAAGGTAGAAAGATGATAACCCTTTTCGTCTTACAGAGTAGAAGAAAATGTTTCCTCGCCCGCGTTTCTGATTTGCTTTCTCTTTTAAAAAGAAATGAGGATGGCCTTTTCTTCTCATGAATGAGAATCCTTACAATTGAAGGTGAATATTAGGGTTTTAAATGTTTCCAAAAGGACAGCCCCTAATCTCCTGTTGCTGTTGTATTTCACTCTTCTTTCTTACATGGAATTTTTCTATTTGAAAGGAAGCATCTCAAGAAAACCAGGTTCTTACAAAGACTAGAACTGTGTAGAGATTTGTTCCTGCCTTTGTCTCAAGCATCTCTCTAGTCCAGGCCCATATTTCTTCATAATCCCTTTATCGCAGTGGCTTCCTACTGATTCTAAAGGAGATGTGGGTGGAGATTCCTGAACCAGGACATGGGTTGGTTGTCACCTCTTCACCTGGACTATAAATTTGGGCAGGTGGGGTCTTCTTTGGCAGCCACTGGGAGACTTGAGTAAACCAGTGAGCTTCAAAGGACCACAAAGAACAAGTCTTTGCTACTCCTTCCCTTTATAATCACAGTCTGCCGAGATGGGCCCACATTCAGACAGCCGCACCCTGCAAATAGGAAGAGCACCAGAGGATCATTCCTGGCCATGAAATCCAGCTGTGTATTTAGCCTTAACCTCATCCCTATTCCGGTTTCTCGGGGACTTGTTTCTCAGGGATAAGTACATCTGGTTAAAGGAGTTTTCCTAAAGCTTTCCCCAAATTTTCAGATTCTCTAGGCCACTGTCCCCAATTGTTCCTTTAAATGTCACAGTCAGGGCTAGTGGTAAAGCACAGGCTTAGGATGTGTGAAGCCCTGAGTTTAATACCCAAGGCCAAAAAGGAAAAGAGTCAGAGAACCTGGACTGTCAATGTCCTTAATACAAAGGTCAAATAAATAAATAAATAAATAAAATGTGTCTTAAAAGGTTGATGGAGATGATTATCTTATGGTTTATCAAAATGTCAGTTTACTGAAGCACGGGGCATAGCTAACATCTCACTGTTTCCTGTCTTTACCTGGCACAAACTATTCTGTAAAGAAAAACCTGTGTCACGGGCATGTCACATCCCCACAAGTGTGAAGTGTGCAAGAATAGGCGTCCCTGCGAGAGCAGGCGTGTGCTTTGGGAATCCTGAGAGAAACAGGCAAGCTCTCCTTGATAAAAGGCATCTCTAGTTAAACGTCCTTTTCTGATAGCCCTACAGAACGTTACATTTGAAAGGTAGCTTGGAGATTATCTCTGATCTCCTTTAATTAATAAATAATAAGACAGCACACTTAGAAGGTGGTAAGTGCCAGGTGAGAGCTTCAGTCCCTGGCTTTCCCATCAATATCCTCAGCGCCCCTGCAGAGAAGCTCCAGGGCCCTGTAAAGCCAGTGTGTGCATAAACACTGCAGCTTGTGTGTGTTCTTCCTGCCAGCCGCGCATCATCGTAACTTTAGTCAAATGAATTCCACCAAGATGAGTGATTAAGAACACTGGGCTTGTGACAGAGCCAGATGGGCCTGCTGAGGACACACCGTGTCCTGGCTTCCAACATCAACTCCAGGAGGTAGCACACACCAGTAACCACAGCACTTAAGATGTGGAAGCAGGAAGGTTGCAAGTTCCAGGTGAGTTCCAAGCTAGCCTGGGCTACATGAGATCATGCCCCCTCCGAGAGAGAGAGAGAGAGAGAGAGAGAGAGAGAGAGAGAGAGAGAG